TGAATCAATCATTAGCAGTAATGATGAGTCTAAGAAGTGATAGATTCTGTGGATTTTATTAAGAGTTCCCATTCGTTGTCAATGGATCTCACATTTCAGTGGATCCCAAATCATTCATAGGTTTTCATCGACCGATAGTAAGAGCCAAACAAGAAATCGTATCCTGTTTAGTAATTTTGAAGTTTAGTTCAGTTTCAAAATCAACATTTACTATGATTTTTGAACAGTATTTCCAAATGATAGATAAGATTTATTTCGTTTAATGATGACATTAATGTGTGATTAAAATGATGGATATTTTCAGTATTCATATCGCAATCACTATTAATTACTTTTTGATAAAATTTCTCTAATTTTCAAATTTTTTACAGACCATCACAAGAGTATGTTTTTCGTTAAAATATTTATATTTAGATTACGCGAGATGAGATAAGCGTTATTTTGTTTGAATTACAATATTTAGGTGAATGTATACCACATTTGAAACCATGAGAAAATATTTCGATTTTATTTATTTCCAATCGTTTCGATATGTATTATATGATTAGAGCTTTCATTTTGTCATCAATTTATGAAATATACTCAAAACTATAGATTTGCAAAGTTTTCAGTTTAAGTTCATAACATTTACAAACACTTAATAGACTTCAGTGGATGCACTCCCTATGCGTGGCTTATTAATTGAATACTTATTAATATTTTGTGAGTAATTATTACCATTTGAAATCCAATATTGAATATTGACTTTAATATAACTATTGCATTCAATTGAGATCTGTTGACAAGGGCTCTGAGTTGTAAACCAGTGTTTGGTGTGAATGTAATTCAATCCGAGCCACAGATATGATCCACTTGTCAGCACTGACTCTCAATTTCATAAACTCATCCAAAAAGTGCCGATTGAGTCACACATTTGCCAACAAACCTCTATTACACTTGACTTTCTATTTCCTCCACATTTCTCTGCCTCCCATCCCTCTTCTCAATCGATTCATCAAAATTGTGATAAATTTTTATTAATCATAAAACAAATATCATTTGCTTTCTTTCCTATTTCTGACAAGCGGTCAGAAGTTTTTAAAATATTTCTTAAAATATATTTTGCTTTCCCATTCTGTTTAAATTGAAATTTTTTTGTAAACATCAACTGACAGACAAGTTTTCGCTTTTTATTCAATAGTTAGTTGACTTTTATTTAAATAAATATAATTCCAATGCAATTGCAATGTGTTTAGTTTTAGAGAATCTCATGTATTCAATATATATTCAGAATATATTCAATTACTGTATGATTTCATTCATAGTACAGTACAATAGTTTAAGTGCCGGCATATAGACCTCAAAGTTGTCGATAGAATTACATACACTTAACATTTGTATAGTCCAGACGTCAATGTGAAGTAACGTTACTCTTAATTGAGTACAGATTTCAATAATTTAGGTATAGTTTTGCGAATATCTCGATATTGGATGTCATCAGATGGACTGATTGGTCAACAAAACTGGTTTTCACAGTGATTTGACTCTGCAAGAACTTTAGACTCTAGTAACACTTTCGACAAAGACAATGGAAAGTAAATTTGTGGGTAAAGCAGTGGGTTAAGTTGGTTGACAACGGTTTGTGAGTAGTTTAATGATTGTTTAATACTATTTATATTTTATAATTACAATTTATGTCTTAACAATATATACTTTGTCATTAAATATTTGTAATTATCTCATTTTTATAATAAAGCATTAATTTTTTAAATACCGATAATAATTTATCAAAATTAACTTAGATCTTATGAATAAATTTAAATATTGTATTATTAATCAGAAATACAATTAAAAATTAATTTAATTAATATTATTTGGAGAAATTTAAAAAGTTTAAAGAATTTAAAAAGTTGAAATTTATAATAAATTATGAAATCACAGGATTAATTGTATTACGAATTATATTCAATTCTTACAGTATATTTTAAGCTACAATACTCGTATATTATCAATATTAATTTAAAATAATCCATTCATGCATTAGAAAATTTAATGTGAATTTAAGGTACAGACACCTTAAGTAAGATTCAATTGCAAAACAATTTAATAAATTAAATTAAATTCTGTATTACGAGAAAAGTATAGTTTGTTATTCAGTATTATTATTATTATTACTGTAATAAGGATTACTGAATATAAAATCAATTAAATATCGTCGTCGTCATCATCTGGAAGTGGTATCCCCTCTGCCAATCGTCTTTCCTCCTCGAGCTTCGTCAGCATCATGGCGTCCATCTGGACCTCCGGGGGCGCCAACGCAGGCATCTCCACGAACTTGAGGTGAGGGTCGCCGATGAGCTTATGGGCCATCCAGAGGAAGGGTTTCTCGAAGTTATAGTTACTTTTGGCGCTAATGTCGTAATACTGAAGATTCTTCTTCCTGTGAAACACAATGGCCTTCGCCTTGACTTTCCTGTCTTTGATGTCCACTTTGTTTCCGCACAAAACGATGGGTATATTGTCG